CTGACAAATAGAGTTATTCAGCTTCCTGTTCGGTGGCATTCGTTAGGCGAGGAGACGCGAAAAGGGCCCAGAGAAACGTGCTAAGTGACGCGTTTTATCGTCTAATGGGATTGTGACGTTGACTTTACCGGAATATGTAAAACAGCGGTTACCTTCCCCGTTACCCAGCCAAGTAATGTAAAATAATATTTTCTGCGAGCCAAATAAAATTCATGTTCCCCGTCGATTCGACGCCGACAAGGACGCGGAATCCTTTCCCGAGCGAAGAAAACGCGCGACGAACGACAGCGTCGCGTGAGGCTTGATTCATCGACTGGCAACGGCCCCGACGGGTACCGTACGCTGTATTTTCAATGAAGCTGATAGTTCCTGTCGATGACGCGCGCCGTGAACGCATCCATTAAAAATACGATCCGGTGTGGGTCGGTTGTCACTCGCATACTCGACACGTCGAGCAAAGCAAGACAGGAGTCTTGCAATTTCTCGATACTACGCCACGCTGCGGTCGGAGACATTTCTTGTCAAGTACCCGAACACTTTCAAGGTTCGCATTCAGGCTCGAGCGGTTGAAAAAAGATCATAAAAATGGCGCATCAATTTTTCTCTAGATCGTATCGTTATTTGACTATAATCTTCTTTGGAGATAAATCTTTTTATCCAGATACAAAATTTCACAGATAACCATCTGTGTTTCTGTCGTCCCGTACACACTGCTACCATTGTCTGTTGTTTTTACGCGATGGCGTTCCTCGTACTCGAGACTAAACAGCACGTGCTGCACACATTTTCCATTCGTTTCGATCTTCTTAATTTATCGACCACTTTGTTTTGTTTCATTTCACGGAATAAATTCTTAGATGGAATTTTCATTTGGTGCCCATCTTTAACCCTTAAGTGGACTCTCGATCTTAGTTTAGTTGTGGGGCCCATGTGAATTCATAAAGTCATCTTTCTCTTCCACTTACCATGCAACAGATTCTTTAAAATGTCGATTATTTTATAGCGTAATAAGTTTAGAAATACATGAAGATATTACAAATTTGAAAACTAAAGTAGGTGAGATTAATTTATCGAACGATTCAGTAGCGGATTGAAGGAGTGTTCGTGGATTATGAAAGGTGAGGTTAGATATCAGTAACAGCATTGTGGCTGCACAGTGCCTCCTATGCATTTTTGTACGTCTCGTTTCATGCTTTTATATTCATGTATTCGTTTCCTCATACTTGTGCCATGAAGGCGTTAAATAAAAATAAATTTATCGGGACGATCGGTGGAGTTAAGGCGGAAACGCATTATTCTCGCATCGCGTGGGCACACGTCGCCCTCAAAAATATAAAAGTCAATTTAAAGTTGATTTTAACTCTCTTTTGCGTGATTTTTTAAAGAAATTATTTACTGTCAAACTAAACAATAAATGGCTGAACCCGCAGAGCCATGGGAATAACGTGATGCGTAAATCCTATAGAATTGTCTTAAGTGAACTTCGCTGGGTTCTCGTCGCGGAACATTATGGCAGTAAAGCAGTGGTTTTCATATTTTTAAAAAGGCGTTTCTCTAAAACAGAGTTGTTTTTAACCGTGTAAACTGCATTGGACAGGTGACTGCTCAGTTAGTTCACACGTCCCTCATTCTCTGTCGAAACACTTTCTTGAACCGTGAATCGAATAAACAATTCAGCGAACGATTAACGAATTATTCATGGAAAGAATACACGTGTACGGCGCTAGACAGTACGAAGTCTCGTAATTACAAACGCGTGCCACTAGTATTTTTGTTCTATAAGTCAATGATTTTTTACCTTCCACAGTTATTCGTGTCGAAGAACTGTGCCAGGTGTTTTCCTCTAACAGTGTGGTGAGCGTGAAAAGGTTAAGAACCACTGTCATACGTGATTTTACAGGTTTCGTGTGTTCACGTAACGTGACGATATGTTTCCGCGTTTAGTGCCTTCCCTCGGAGAGAGGTTATGTCGTAAAGCAAGCCAAGTTATAGCTTCTTGCCGTAAAAAGTTGCGTCCAAGTTATCAACGATTATCTGCATCGATAATCCACGCAACTATAAAGATTCGAAACACGCGTATAGGTGTCGTTTGGAATTCGATTAATTTCGATATCCAGAGAGTCGTATGTGCTTGCGATATTGCGATTCCTCGCTGCGAGTAATCGATACTGCTTGACCGTGCTCGCGGCCCATCGTTGCTCATGATATGGCGCCCCGAGGGTATGTGCCCCGTTTGCCCCCGGGACTAGCCCACGTAATTCCACCGATCGACAGACTTTACGCAACTGGCGCGCAACAAAAGAGTCTCCGACGCGTGAGAAGGAGATTAAAAAAAAAAAAAAAAAAAAATAAAAATCGAAAAAAAAACCAGATCGATGGCTGCCGCCCAGGGTACCAGTCCTTAGAAGGTTAAGAGAAACAAGAACCGCCTAATGGAAAATCGATAAGAACACCTCCAACCTGACCGTTTTTGCCTCGAGAAAGCTGGGGTGGGTTGGGCGCGAAGAGAGAACGCGATTAAACGGCGGAGCGAAGGAAAAAAAAATAAAGATGAAGGAGAGAGAAGTTGATCGGTAACGGAAATAATGACTATCCACACAAACGCGAGCGTTCTGTCACGCTCCAAAAACCAAGCGTCAATTACGCCATTTAATTGGGTGCAACAGGTGGCCGCTGACCGCGGCGGCGTTTCATGCATGCCCCCCTTTTTCGAAATAATAAGTTTCCTGGGAACCTGTCGGACGCGCGTACCGAAAACGGAAGCGGCTGGTTCCACTCCGCGCGTCTACGCGACCAGTTTTCCGTCGTGTCGCTCGCTCCGCTCGTCCAGGGGCAATGTTAAGTCTTCGCGACTCGTCCCTGGAATGAGTCACTTGTCGCGATACTTTCCAGACGATTTTGCGTCGCGACGAGTCCCCCCCTCGAACGTACGGGGCCTCTGACGTAACGGTCGAAGAGCTACTTCGGTACGGTAAATCAAACAAACGTGTACAGGGTGTTCTACAAGTTCCTGGTACAACAGAACTCGGGATTATTCATCGAACAATGAAGGCTACGGTACGACTATTCCAGCAGAAAATGCCTTGGACGCGACTGCAAGATGGAAACAGTCTGCTACGTGTGCAGCCTTTGGGTCAAACTCAGCAACGAGGAAGAACTTAATTAACAGGCATCCAGTGTCTATAAGAGGGAACGTTGAAGCTCCAGTAAAGGAAAGAAACTAGTGGTAATAGTAATTAAGTCAAACAAGTATGTACAGTTCCTGGTACAGCAGAAACCGGGATTAATCATCGAACAATACAGACTACAGATGTTCCAGCAGAACCTGCCTTAGACGCGACTGCAAGCTGGTAACAGTCTGCCATGTGTACAACCTTTGGATCAAGCTCAGCAACGAGGAAGAACTTAATTAACAGGCATCTAGTGGCTACCAGAGGGAATGTTGATGCTTGGCTGAAGACCAGTAAAGGAGACAAACTTAGCAGACCTTACCAAGGAGTCTATGACTAAACGAAACATATCCCTTACATAGAAATCGGTTAAATCTATGATTTGACTACGGATTCTTTGTGTAAGAGCGAACCTGGACGACCGAAGAAACCATCGAGTGAGAACGCGTTTAACGGAAACGACGATCAGGGAGGAGTTTGGGGGAGAAAATTGAATCGAGGCGGCTTAAAGCCTCCAGACGGAAAAATTACAGTGATCTCGCGCTGGAAGTCGAGCGATCTTGAGCGCACGGCAACCCCTCATTACAAATGGCTAGACTCTTCATCGTTTTAGTGTTCCTCTCTTCAGTTTCGAAGCCAGACTCCAATCGTGTAGATTCAGCGTGTCGATTTTTCGAGGTTCGAGAACCAGGGGGTTCGTTTCGTGCTGAATCGGATACTCTTTGAGGCAACGTTTCAATACTAAAAATTCTTTCGCGTATACGTAAATATCCCTAAAAGCTATGTCTGAATTTTATCCAAATCGAACATGCCGCTTTAAAATTTGTCCGATTTGGTACGGAATGACTCAGAGGCAAAACGAAGACGACGAATCATGAACGACGACCGGGGAACGGGAGCCATGCTAATGGCGACCTTGTAGCGGTCGATTTGTAGAAAGTTTTCATACCAATAATCGCGTCCCCGATGATAACGGACGGCGCGCAATCTAAGCGCCATTGGATCAGCCTGTTCGCTCGGTGCGCGATACGCTCAGCATTCCTTTGGTCGTCGAACCCCTCGAATCTGACTGCATTCTTTGCTAATTAAAACTATCGCGAGCCAAAACGAAGTTTAAGCTCTGATGGCGATGCGTTTTAATCTTATAATCCAACAATTCGCCTCGAGTAACTTCGTCCGGTCCCGTTCGGACAGAAAAAGTACCTTTTGCATTAACCGCCAGACGATCGAATCGAAAGATAAGCTCGCGTACCTGGCAAGACAAAAAATCATGCACCTGCTCACACCGTTAACGCGAATATGGTCTCTCTGTAATCACTCGGATCCCTTATAGGGATCCCCGATCGGAATCGTCGTTCTCCATTGTGCTTAAAGCGACCTGGCTACCCTACGAACGTACAATGCTCAGAAACTCTACGTTATTAAGAGTCTATTCCGAACACGATCTTAGGAACCCGGTGATCCTCTTTCAGCCCCGTGAAAACTGTGTGATCCCGTGTTTCCAGTTAGCGAGCAAACCGAGATCGTCCGAAGATCGGATCAGTGACACTCGGCTGACCGCAAACAGACCTTCCGTAAGCGTTCGAAGGAACGGCTGACAGCGCAAATCCACAGCGCCCAACGCTCCCCGTCGACGCTCTCTATTACCGGTCCAAAAGCCATGGGAAACAAGTACGCGAAGATAGTCGATCGAAAGAAACAAACCGACACCTCTCTGTGAAAGGTTGTTCCCGCACGCGAACTATCGTCGGGACGCCGTGCCCACGGCGAGTCGTGGCGCGAGTAAATCGTCAGGAGTGGCTGGAAAAAGCTCGGTCGTACAAAACTCACCGAGCACGGAGAGGCTGAGTCCGGAGCCAGGCCTCGGCGATCTATGCCTGTCTGGGGGCGCCATGGCGTAGCTTGTCGCGGTTACGGGGCGCCTTAATCCAGTGGCAGGCTCGTTTCTTTCATCGCACGGTCACACACACGATCACGCGCGAGCAGGAGGATCGCGGTTCGTCGACACTGGATTAACGCGACTGTGACTGAGTCCCTCGTGTTACCAGGTCTCGCGATGGTCAACGAGACCCTCCTGTTCGTATCAGAGCAACATACGCACTATCCCGACGCCGGGATGTCATTGTACGTGTCGGTGAACTCGCGGAGTGTTTTACGCGCGCATGTACACGGCAAATGCGCTCAACGAGGACGCCGGGGTCGAGTGATCGCAACGCCGAGAACGCTGGTCGGGCACTGACTGCCAGACGAGAGCTCGCCACCTCGGCACCGGTCTACTCGCGTGACGCCTGATTGGCTGATTGTCTGACCGGTCGACTGGCTTGACTGGATAGATGCTGGTTGCCCGACGACTCCGTCCCGTTCCTCACGGTCGTTCTTCCTCGCTGGTTTTCTGTCTGGTAGCGCGCGTATGCGCATGCGCACGAGAGGCGTCTCGGTTTGCCCGTCGAGTCTTCTGCTCTTCGCTGGACGACGCATCTACGCCCTCGTAGACTCATCGGGCCCTGGGCCCTTTCCTCTCACGGGGGAATTTTAATTGTGCCACTGGTGATACAGATCGATTCAAAATACGATACAGTCCATGCAAAGCGATAGAACTTTGAATCGAAATAAAACGAATACCACAATTTAGGTAAATTGATGAAATTATTACAGTAGTCGCCATTTATCGAACGCTAATTTGTGTAATACTTTCGATGAAAAATAGCGTCGCGTCGATAAAAGCGGCTGATAAGGTGCTGTATCACTAGATTATTCTACTTCTAGCGCGGCAACAAGATAGGACCCGGGGATAGAGTAAAATGATTCTAATCACGATGACTGTTTCTATCCAAGGACAGCTTTGCGCCTCTTCGCAGTCTGACATCACCGTTGTTGGACGGTTGGGTCATTGTGTGGATCGCAGGTGGACAACGGGACAGTTGTGCCGTGACGAATGACGCTAACCGATGTTTCGGGGGGCTGTCGAGCCCTCTGCCCTTTTCGAATCGGGACTACGCCCTTGTAACCCACCTGTATTTTCGGGGTCTCGTACCTACGGTCGAAAGGGATCTCCGGCGATGCACAACGACACAAAGCGTGTCACTCTTTCGCTAGAACGCGGCGGCAGAGTCATTTCGATCTAGGCGATCCGTTCGATCCAAGGACAAGAATGTTTGCAACTCTTATCGCGATGACTTCATCGTTGTTGACATAATGCAGTCGTCGCGTAGGTTCAACAACTTGGGAATTGCAGTATATTCCAGGGAGCATTCGTTCCATTCTTCTGCCCTCCGAGGGCAGCTCTCTAGCAACTCCCCCTTTATGGCTCGCTTCTTTTTTGGGACTACTTTTTTTCCACGGTGGAATTTTAATTGTGCTACCGCGGATACAGGTCGATTCAAAATTCGCTGACCAAAGCAGTAACCATTAAATAACGTTCTTTGTTCTCTCTGGATAAAAAAGAAAAATAGTTTTCAAGCGTTCCAAATTATTTGGAATAAATTTTATTCGTAGTAAGAACGGACAACTTTAATATCTGATCTCGAACGCTTACGCCACAGCCACGTTGACTTTAAAAAAGTTGATATCCATAATATATATCGATGTAAATAACTTAAACTGCGTATATTAATTACCGCATAAAATTATCGAGTTATTGCACGTGATATTTCATACGCAGCAACGGGGGCCCCCGTAATCTATCATCTCGCGGAGGTAGATTAAAATCGAAGGGGACAAGTCGAGTGCGTCCCTTGTAAGATTTAATCCAGGTGCGTCGAGCCACGCTAGGAGAACATTTGCAAATCTCCTCGTTCGACTGCGTTTCAACTTTTCTGAATACGATCAGGGTCCGAACGCGACGCAGAAAGCGTAAGTACGCAAGCGTCCAGTGGCTTATGCAACCGACTTATTTAATAAAACAAAGTTACGACCAGTATCGAGCGGTAATAACGCGCTCCGGGGGAATGCTACTGTTGTTCAGCTGTCCAATGCCGAGAAGTTGACGCGGCCGCTCGTTTATCCGCGAGGCGTGAATGCATTTAGATACCACGTGCATGCTAAGTCCCCTCGAAGTCCTTGCACGGCACGCATCAAGAACCAGGACACCTAAACAGTAATCCGCGCGCAGCTCGTAGTCTACAATCCAGTCTCTGTCATTCGATCCCCAGCCAGGCTAATCCAGACTCTGCACGATGGGATGGATTTCCAGAAACGTGGTCCAATTACAGACGATGGGGCTCATCGATATTTTAAACTGAAATTAATTTCTCTGGAAAGAATCCCTGACGGTCCACCGACTCAAAATAAGTGTCTACATTTGCCAAGTTAATCGAGATTCCCAGAAACGGTAGTCCAATTACCAACACCCCTTTTTTCTCAGGAATCCTCGTCGAGGATCCTCCAGAGATACCGGAATGAGCTAATCGGTACGGCGAACGCGCGAGGTCGCCCACCTTCCAGCACGCCAGTTACACTCCAGGAGGTGCTAACTACGCGATTATTCGACGGAAGTGTAGCCGAGGGGACGCTTACTTGCGTCGCGGCTCGCCCCCACGCGTATCGACGCGCGTACGCCCCCAGCAAACGACGCGGAACAAAGCGCGGAGCCGCGTAGTCTGGGGACCCGTCGATCCCGGGATCGAGAAACGTATCCCGGTTCTTCGGGGCCCGAAATCGAGGACGCAACGAGCGCATAAATTTAGAAAAGACACGCCGCGAACCGCTCGGCCCGCCGGAGCAGGTGTACACCTCGGCGCTATTCAGTGTTTAGACTCTCCGTGCCGGGAACAGCACTTTCTACTTTCACGTCGATGCATACAATATACATACACCTTGGAATCTTTATTATTTGCTGGAGCAAACGGTTACTGATTTGATGGCTCCGGGATCGTGAACGTCATAGCTCGAACGAGAGCACATCACATTTCGTCGCCAGATAGGAATAAGAGTACAAAGGAAGCAGGACGTAGGGGTTGTCTACCGTTCTTTTGAATTTTTACACGTCAATTTACAATTTTGTGAGCTCTATGTACGCTAGAACTCTAAGTGACACCTAGGTCTAGCTAAGTAAAAGTGGCTAGCGATTGTTCAATATCTGGCTATGAGGATGCAAGGCTCCCGATGAGGATCTGTTCAGCCCTTGACCAAACTGTAAGGCTAGCAGCATACTATTTTGCTTTCCATCGTAAGACAAGGTGCTCCAGCTGGTTCGAAGCATGTATTTATAGTCGTGCGATTGATCATGTACGAGGGGTCCCATATAGATTCATAATTTGTTCCACTCTGAGTAAATTATCGCGAGATAAAGGGTCGATACTACGTTCCTAGAAGAGTAATTTTCGTAATTTCATGTTGAGCAACAGATGTTACGCGGATAACCAATATGGCGGCTACGATCATCGAAAGTTCTATCGGTCTCATTGAAATAGTATGTTCCTGACCTTACATTTTTTAAACAATATCATCTGATATACAAATCGCGAGTTCTAATGGTCGAAACGCTAGTTCGAATTGCACAAGAAGTTTTGTAATTTCACGTTAAACAACAAATATGGCGGTTAAGATCCCAACCTTAAGAGTTCCGTTGATCGAAATGTACAAATCTAACAAGAATTTTCGTAATTTCGTGTTTGGCGCCAGATTACAAGAGTCAAGGATCGATAGTCGTACCGATCTTATTGGAAAAGTCTGTAAATATGTTTCGCATGCGAGGCATGCCGACAAAGGGTCTGCGGATGCGGATAAATCCTTGGACGATGAGCAACGCGAAAAGAAACGCGAGGCAATGTGTTCCAGGAAAGCTGGGTTGGCATTCAGAGCGTAGCGTTTTATCCTTGGTCTAGCTGCCGATCACGATCCCTGTCGATCCTTTCTCGCGCTCGGTCCTCGCTGCTGCGAGCTGCCTCGGCCGAGAGCGATGCCCCTCTCCGGGGTGACCCGATCTCGAACGCCGCAACGAACAGGTTAAAGTAGCCTCTCTGGTGCGCGCACGCCACCGGAGCAACCTACCTTGCAGCCTACCAGCCGTATTATTACGCGCTGGTTTGCGGGGCCCCCGGGCCCCCGGTGCGCGACGCCGCGCCATGTAACAGGTTCCAGTCACGGGGAAAGGATATTGCCGCGCGGGAAAACCGGGGGAAAAAGACACACCGGACGTGACGATGAATTCGACGACCGTCTGCCGGCCGATGGCGAACCCGGTCTCCTCTCTTCTGGTCTTACCTGACGCGACGGCGGGAGGTGTGTTTGCGCGCACGGGTGTCTCGTTTGAATTCAGCCACCGGGCGCTGACGTGGAACGGGATCGGTGATGAATGCTAGCGCTCGCCAGAGGACTCCTTTGATTTCTCCTTTGGCAAGAGCCACGGGGGATTTCGGTGGGAATTCGAAGAAGGAAGGTTCGCTCCGTGGATGGCACCGTAGGAAACTCGATGTTTGATTTACCGAACCCGGCCACTGACAAGGCGCGGAGGAGGACCTTCGACGAGTTGTTCAAGAAATATTCTTTTAGGCGCGCGGAGGAAGTTCGAGTTCCTTTTACGTGAAGGACGATGGAGGACGCGACAAATATTTCGGTCTTTGACACGCTGTACGATCTACCTGGTCAGGTCTTTCTCGAAATAAACTTTTTGGGAATCGAATGAGAAGTTTATTTAGAACGTGTAAAAAGAGTAATTGCATCGATGGAAAGAGTGACGTAAAGAAGAGGTTGCCCCACAGAGCGGCGCAAAAACGTTGGACCGGAGTTCCGAACCAGCGCTTTGTTTCGCGAAAGTATTCCCGTTGTTTGAACCGTGGACGAAAAATCCACGCCGGTAGAAAGTAAAAACTCGTACTCGGGCCGTGGAAAAATGTGTAAGTAAAGAGCCGAGCGCGGCGGACGGGTCTGCCTCGGTCGTTACATGAGAGCATATGTACAAATATATATATGTATATGTACATATATATAAGTGTATATTGCACCTTTCAACGTAGGCCAGTGTGGCGGATGCGGGTGGGCGGACCGGGATCGGGCCTGTGGCAGTGCAACGAAGCCGGAGAGCCCACGCTGAAACGAGCATCGGTAATTAAACGAGCACCTCGCTCGACGAACCCGTCGCTTTTAACGACGAATCGTCGCTGACCGTGGATAGACCAGTCCCCAAAGGAATAAAGTTGACTCAAAAATGAAATAATAAGAAATCAACGTTTTATTGCGTTAACCCTTCGATGAATGGGCCAATGGCGAATACAAGGGGGCAGCTTGAGTCCCTTGACTACCACCCCAAAACTTTAATTTTAGGCAATGATAAATTAGTGCCTTAGTACTCTAAAACTTATGACTCCTCTTCAAATTTAGTTTTTTCGAATTTGTTCAGTTTCATATGAGGGATACATCAGAACGTAAACATTAGTTATTCTTGAAGTCATAAGTGCGAATAAAAGCTGATCCGTGCCACTGTTCAATCCCCAGCAGGCCTCAGGCTCCCGTCTCTGTTAGCAAGTGCCCGAAGATCTCCGATGGGATCGATATCATCGATAGTTTATTACATCTTATCGAATGGACGACTGCCA